TATATATATATATATATATAATTTTGATTTTTTGGTTAATCAAATTTTCAAATCTAAAAACCAAAAACCGAACCGGAAAACTTAAATATAAAAATTCAAAACCGATATCGACCAAAATAATCGAAAAATTGAAACTAAAATTAAAAATAAATTGGTTTGATCATTTTTTTTGATTTGAACCATATTATGCCCATCCTTATTCACTATTCTATATTTCTCGTGATATTTTCTTGATGGCAATTGCTGTTTCATCACTCTATTGGGTCTCTTCTATCTTTCCGTTTTTTCCTCTCTTTTTTTGGTTTGTTGACATTGATTTTTTGCGCGAATATCATGGAGAAAAATGATATTTCTCAACTTATTTCAGTTGTTCTCAGTGGATCTAATTATCATCATTGGTGTGAGGCAATGCATAGTTTTTTGAAAGAGCGAAAGTTGTGGCGATTTGTCATAGGTGATTTAGTCTGTCCAAAGCAAACTGAGACGGAAACAACTGAAAAGTTTGTTGATCATTTAGAATGGGGGATAAAAGAAATCATCATATTATTACATGATTTTGAAATACTTTTGTTCCAAGTATTCACCCAATTTGGACAATTCAACACCACAAAAGGGGTATAGGATCATCTCTCTCAATGATATATTACTTTTGATCTTTCTCATCGTTTTCAATTTATGAAGGAGATAGCCAGATTGAAACAAGAAAAGTGAGAACCTATCTATAAATTTATCTCGAAGAAGGAATCCATGTGGAATCAATTAACCTTGACTGAACCCGTTCTTAGAAATTCTAGTGCCGCCGCCAAATTTTTAGCTTACTGCAACAATGATAAATTGATTAATTCTTGATGGCTCTTACAGATGATCATGAACCAACGTAGGTTGCATTTCTTAACCAACAACATTTGCCAACTCTTGAAAATTCTCTTCCTCACCAAAAATATGAAGAAACTCATTTGGATATCATGCGGCCAGTGGATAACTTAGTTTTTGCAGCCACTAACATAATTGGTGTCAAATTTTGTTGCAATTGTCGTCAAACTGTTCATGCCTTACATGACTACCTAGTTATTGAATGTAATAAATATAAGAATAAGGGACATACATCCAGAATTGTCCTCCAATCTGCATGTATGTTTAAAAGGAAGATCACTTGATTGAGAATTGTCCTACTCGTCCTTAGAACAAAAATCAATCTCGTTTGAATCACTCGTCAAATCCAGTTCTTGTAGTAACCAAAAATTATTGAAATTCATCAATTGAACTTCAAGCTCTCCTTAGTCAACTACTTTCTCCAACTGGTAACTATCTTGCAACTCTAGTTACTCTTTCAGGTAATTTGTCTTGGTACTTTGATTTAGCATGCTGTAATCACATGACGTATTCTTCAGGGATATTCTCAGACCTGGCTACAATTTCTAGCCCATCATTCATTCATATTGTTGATGGATCTAATATGAATGTTAGTAATTAACTATCTATTTCTTCATTAGATTTCTCTTTTCCTGATAGTTCTTAAAATTTTAATCTTATCTCTGTTGGACAATTATGTGATTTTGGGATATGATGTAATTTTTTCTTCTCGTGCTTGTCGAGTGCAGGACGTTCAGAAGGAAAAATCATTAGGAAAGGCCATAAAGTTGGGGTATGTTTGAACTCACTAGTCATCATATTCCCCGATCATCTCCGTGTCTGTTATGTGTTGTTTCTTCTAGTGTTGCGTTGTCATTATGACATCAAAATTTTTGTCATTGTTGAACTTCCTTTTTTAGTTTATAGTGGGTTTTTAGGTCAAATTAATGAGAAAAGTTTGGATTTTATTGCATGTAAACAGGTCAAACAACCCGCTATACCTTTTGATAAAAATCCCTCTATTTCAAACTTTCCTTGTTTGATTTAATACATTCTGATGTTTGGGGACCTCTCATTTACCAAGCATGATTGGATCACAAAAACTTTATCATTTTTATCGATGAATTTTTCCGATTCACATGGATATATCTTATAAAAAATCGTTAGGAACTACCTCAAATCTGTACCAATTTTGCCAATATGTTTAAAACTCAATTGGGTAAAATTATCAATGTTTTTTGGCATGACAATTGCATGGAATATCGAGATTCTAAAATTTTGAATTTCTTATCTATAAATGGTACACTTTCTGAATTCTCTTGTCCCGATACCTCCCCACAAAATGGACAAGCTTAACGTAAGCATAGGTATATCCTTGATTCTCGTTGGGCCATGATTATTTATTCATCTTACCCTGAGCGCTTTTGGGGTGAAGCAACTCTTACTACAATGTTACTATCAATAGACTCCAATATTATTGGAAACGTATCTCCTTATGAACATCTTTACAAGGTAACTCCTTACTACACATTACTTAAAGTACTTGGCTCTGCTTGTTTTGTTCTTCTTCAACCACATGAACACACAAAATTAGAAACTCATGCTTGAGTATCTTTATTTCTAGGATATGGGATAGAACATAAAGGTTACTATTGTTGGGATCCCGTGTCAAATCATATTCGTATTTCTCGGCATTGTGCTTTTGGGAACATATAAAAAAGTTTACTCACTGTCAAAGTTTGAATCTATTCCAATCCTTGTGTTAAGTTTTTTCAAAGTGATCTTAATGTATGTTCATCTAGTGAGTCAGACATTTCACGCCACGGTTTTACTATTACCCTCAATGAAGAGCCATTTGATGTCCAGTTCATGAAAATATTACAACATTAAATTCTCATGATCAATCTCCAATTCATAGTTCCACTCTTGATATGAATGTTTATTCCTAGGTACCCTCGTATTCTCTTCTTCCTAATAACACTTCATATATCCATCCAGTTTGAGAAAAAAATCCTCTTACTCATCTTCATGATTATCAATGTTATTGTACCATGCTTAATTTACATAAGCCTGGTACATACAAAGAGGCATCCAGTGATCCTTGTTGGCTACACTTTATGAAATAGAGTTGTAGGCCTTCGAAAAATCTCATACTTCAGAATTAGTTCACCCTCCTTTTCATAAAACTCTTGTTGATTGCAAATGGATATAAAAGATTAAGACACAATCTGATGTCTCTTTTGAAAGATAAAAGGCTCGATTAGTTGCTCGAGGATTCACCCAAGAGTATGGAATTGATTATGAGCAGACCTTTGCTCTAGTAGCTCGTTTAGCTCTGTTTCTGCCCTTCTTTCTGTTGTAGTAGTTAAACATCGCTCTACTCATTATGTTGTTGTTCTGCGAATTCTTCATTATGTAAAAAGTATTATGTTCCATGGACTTCACTTTTCAGCTAATATTTCTCTTATATAAAAGCATATGTTGATGCTGATTGGGGACGTGATCCTATTAATTGACTTTCTATTATTATTTATTGTATTTTTATAGGAGATTCTCTTATATCGTGGAGAAGCAAGAAACAAACCTTAAAATCCTGATCAAGTACCGAATAAGAATATCGCGCACTTGTTGATACTATTGTTAAGATACTGTGGCTTCGTTGGTTATTGGCTGACATGAGTGTTCCTCAATCTTCTGCCCCACTACTCTTTATTGTGATAGTTGTAGTGCCATTCAGATTGCTCATAAAGATGTATTTCATGAGCATACAAAGCATATATCGTTGTACTCATCAGCACATTGATCTTGCTGCCATTCGATTAGCTTCTATTGGGTCCTTAGATCAACCAGCTAATGTTTTCACCAAGCCTCATCTTCCTAGACGTTTCCAAGATATGGTGACCAAACTTAAATTGATTTCTTGTAAACCATCTTGAGTTTTAGGGGGGATGTTACAATTTGGTAAATATTGTATAGACATTCTAAATATGGACATAGTATACATTTTAATATATTAATATGGTAAATTTTATATTTAGACTTTGTAGGTATTTTATATCGTTTTACTTCTTAACTTCTTGTGTACAAATATGTTTGTTGTCTCTTTTATTCAATATTGAACAGAATTATTAATTCTCCATATTTTCTTGCTTTTCTCTGTCTCATTTTGTAACAAACGTCATGACATATCCCCCTCAATTGTATGCGCATGGTAAACTATATGATGAAAAAAGCAGCCTGCAGACACCACCATCTACTCGGTAGCCAACCGATGTGGAAATGTCAACCCTCGACAAATATTCACACCCTCTTTTTCTCTGTCATTATAAGCGTAGTCATAACTCACAAGACAAGAAGCTCTTGAAACCATGTCTGAACTGACATCGATCTTGTGTCAAGTTGGTAAATTCATCCCACAATCGCTCCTTAAGGATATGAGGTACATACTTCTCTAACAATGCCTATCCTAACTCATTAGCGGTGTCCTGGTTGGTCAGCAACGAGATAAACCTCTAATATTTCTTCACCAACCCATCAATTCGGAAAGAGGTATAATGAACCCCATGACACTCCACCAAACACATGTTATGAAACCTCTCCTGCCAACACACTAGAGACTTATTAGTGTTATCGCCCACAACATTTGTGAACCTGGGAGAACCCAATTTGATGAATTGTTCCAACATCTTGGGTTGACATAAGCAGCCCAGCTACCATAGGCAAAGCAAATGTTGGAACCGGCTAAACCACTAAGCAAGGAGATTGAATACACCCAAATTTACTGTAACAAAGTACAAGTATTTGTTGTTCAAATAAAGAACTTGATAGAGCTAAGGGTCCATCATATGAGGAATAAGGCCTAGACTTAGCCTAATTAGTCGTTTGTTGTACTTTTAGTTGAGTAATTTCCATTAAAAGAGGGGGGTGTATTTATTTTAGATTATTAGTTATAAATATTTTATCGTACAACATCAAAATGATTATTGAAATCACAATTTACAAATAAAAACATTACATCTCTATTAAAAATTAAATAATAACTTATAATTCTTTTAAGAGGATACAAATCAAATTAACCAAAGAAATGACTTTAAAAAAAGTATCAACCAATTTTGTCCATATAATATTTCATCTAAATATGTAAGCACTTGGAAAAGTCCATCATAAATGTATTATTAACAATGAACACGCCTACATACACAAATCATGAAACATATAACACACCACACAATTTTATTGACTCATAAAGAGATTTACAACAGAACTAACACTTCATCAAGCTCATGAAGCATCATATATCACACCAAGTAGGTTTATTTATTAACAAATATTTAGGATAGTCATGATACTTCATCATCTTATTAGTAATGGGGAATGATATTTATTTCCCAACATGGTGAGTCTCAAGGTCCTTGATGAGATAGATAAGAAACTCTATAAAATCCAAGGGCTCTGGAGTATTTTCATTCAATTTCTCATACACAAGAGTCCAAGTGATAAAGTTTTTCTCTGCAATCAATGTAAGTGTCAGTGTCATTGACTTGTATAGTTCATTCATATATCCTTCTTTAAAGTTGAAAGTGATTGATTTTTCCTCATCGTCTATGTGTAGGACTTGTTTGGCATGCCTCTCTTTTCCTCCTGTTATCAAATCAAATAAATATAATTGAGGATACAAAAGAAGCAAAAGTACATAAATTAAAGTTCATAAATGATCATGATAGAGACATTATGTAGATATACTAATATAAACGTTTTTTCACTAACGTTTTAGGCTATATATTATTCAAAAATATCCAATGACAACAAAAAGACAAAAATCTGAATTAGAGAATTCCTTTGCGACCATTAATGATATTTGTTGTCTCCTTTTTATGAACTTTTACTGTTTGAAGAATCAATACTTTTATGTACTCTTCAACCAATTGACGCTAGGTGTTTTTACTTTTCATCTCCCAACTTTTGTATAAATGATGTGAACTTTTAGAATATGTAATACTCTTTTCCTACTTATTTTTTCTTTCGAACCTTATCTTAACTTAAAGATGTAAATTGCATTACAAAATTTAAAAATGGAGAGAATGCTAATCCATTGCTTACTTTTACCAAAGTCAATCGAAATATGAAATAAATAAGTTACTTACCAAGAATATAATTCCAGCTAACAACAGAGTTAGTTTTTCCTAATTGACCTTCATGAAGTGTAAAATTTGTTATTTTATCAGGAGCCATGGCGGATGTTTTGTGTGGATTTGATTTGAAGTGCTCATGAAGCAAATGTCCAGAACACTTCGTTTCTATTTGAGAGATCAACTTGCCTTTTAAACCCATTTCCTTATAAGTGAGTGTGATTTCTTATCAAGAGAAGATTTACAAATTTACTGAGAAACATTTTCGCCTTTATATAGAGTGTAGGGTGTGAATAAGTAAATCATTTTACGCGATTGTACATTAAGTTAATCTAATCATATTTAGAGTGACAAAGTCAAGTGGGAGCAACAAGGGGTCCATCTAAACGCCCTATATGATTTTTAAAAAAAATATGTTGTATATTTATGGTTGATAGAATTTTATGTATATACAATTGTTATTGAATTCCGTTCGGGTTTAAGTGTGTTTTACCTACTGTAATTATGAACTAACTTAGTGAATTGATGTTAATATGTCATTATTTAATAACAAAACTTCAGACCTATATTTTTTATGAAATAGTAATAATCATTTTTGGTTATATATTCAACTAAATAAGTATAGCGATGGAAAAGATCACAAAATGATATGCCTATGCCACTGTGTATCTTTCATGTATCATATTTGTCCCTTAGTTTTGAAGAATATGGATCAATTTGTACAGTTAAGGTGGCAAATTTATGCAAGATATTTGCATAAATTCAATCAATTTTTCTCTTATTATCTGATAGCATCCACTAAAAAACACAATTACACAATATAAGATCCTTTAAATATATAACTTTGTTATAATTAGAAAATAGTAGATCTTATAACGTCCAATTTTCCCTGTTACCCTCCTGTTAATTAATGATCTTATCGTAATATTGATTTAAGATAACTATAATGTATATGTAGAACAAAAAGTTGTTTACTCCTTTTATCATACTCTCTCTTTTATTCTTTTTCAAAATGAATATTTCTCTGATTTTTAGCAACACTATTTTCAACCTCATATGTTTTAAACCATAAAATTAAATGAGTATTATGTAATATATTTTTAATTTATGACAACAAGATTCAAGAGTCTTTTTTACCTTTTAAAAACTCCATCTTAACAAATTGAAACGGGGGACTACTACTTCCGTGTATTGCCTTCATAAAATACATAGTAATTCTTGATATATCTTCTTCATGTCAATAAGGTAGTATTGTTAAAGCTTTGTTAAAAACAAATATGATATTTGATGGTGGATTTCTAACATAGCTCTAGGTAGCCATATGTTAAGTTGAAAAAGTTGCTCAAAGAAAGTTTTCTAAAATCCTAAATAGAAGGTGAGCATAGTTTGGAAAATTTTAAGATTAAATCTTTTTAATATTTAGTTTGAACTTTTGGATTAAATCAATGGTCCTTCCAATTATATCATATCTCCTATTGACTAACATTACATGGATTCATTAATAAACACAAAATAATAGTAATTGTCATCTCTAATTTCATGTATTTTTTGTGACAACTAATCTAAATAAAAATGAAGAATGTTTCACTAGTATGTTTTTTTGGTGACAAACTGTTGTTCGGATTTTGAAAGAAAATTTTGTCTAGTTGTATTTGGTGTTTCGCTATCAGTTAAACAATCTGATATATCTTTGTGTTTTAGTAGGAAAGCCAACTTTTTTTTTATTGTAGATTTCTAATATAGCTTTAGGTAAGCCATGTGTTTAGTTGAAAAAATCCTCTAAGAAAGTTTCCCCTAATTCTAAATAGGGGGTGGGTGAGCATAGTGTTGGCACATTGAAAATCAAAACTTTTGATATTTAGTTTGAATTTTTCGATTATAAATTGGACCTCAAATTTAATTTTTAAGAATTATGATTTTTTTTAATGAAATATCAAATCAGGTACTATGAATTTTTTTGATATCTAAAAGTCCTAAATTTCATACCTACTACCCTCAAGGTCATTTTTGAAAAAATTACTATTTTACCCCTCCCGAAGTTGCAACGAGATAGTTTTTGTCAGTTTATGAAGTTAATTTTGAAATTTGATTGAAAAGTTTTGATGTTTGAAAAATTTAGAGTTTGGAGACTTTTTAAAGGTGAATTTTGACAACAACCGGAACTAAGAGTCACAAAATTGAATAGCTTTAGTAATATTAGCTATAAAATGGAGAATCTGATCCAAGAGTGTTTTTGTTCAGTTTTAGAGTCTATTCATGGATTTCAACTCTTTAGTTGGAAGTAGGAATGTACATTATAGGGTTGGTTCGAATTTTTTAAAAATCAAATCAAATCATTCGTGTAAAAAATTTAAATTTATAAACCAAATCAAACTAATAAAATTTAGATTTTTAAACCTCGGGTTGGTTTGGGTTTTTAAATACCAAACCAAACCATTGTGTTCAATTATAAAATTATAAATCAAACCAACTAATAAACTTCAGATTTTTCAAAAAATTTGGATTTTTCGGTAAAGGCTGCACAGAAACATATAATTAACTTGTGCTCCAAATATTTCTTTAGTTCAAACAAAATACAATCATCTAAGGTGTTTCTTTAAAAAATAACACAAAATATGAGATGAATATTGATGACATAAAAATATTCAATAATAATAATAATAATAAAATCATCATATAAAATAAATACTGTAAAGTCATAATGAAAATAATCATAATTTAAAAGTACTAAATCATGCTAAAATAAGTTTATTAAGTATTAGTTACATTACTAAATATTTAAGGAGAACTAAAATTAGATTATGTATTTAATTATCTAACCCAATTTAAAACAAAAGAACAAATATTCGATATTATTGTCATTCATAGTGTTGAATTGATTTTCTTTGTGCATTAGTATTAATTTAATTTTGATTTAGGTTTTATTATAATTATCAATATGTATGAATCAGAATCTTTATTAAATCATTTCGATTCTAGGTTTTAATCTTGATATAATATTAAAAGATAATAACTAAGAAATAGTATAAGAAATATTTTAAAATGTTACTAAAGTAAAAAAAATTATGTATAAAATAAAATTTTAAAAATTATATATATAATTTTAGGTTGGTTTGATCTCGGGTTGGTTTTTTTAGTTAAAACAAAACAAACTCAAATATAGTCGGATTTTTTTTTCAATACTAAATCAAGTCAAACCAAACCACTTATCGGGTTTTTTTCAATTTGAATCTATTTGCGATTTGTTTCGATTTTCAGTTTGGTTTTGTACACCCCTAGTTCAAAGTTTAAGTATAACTAGACAACGAGTTTACTTTCGTTCAATATTCGGTTTCTCATACGCTTTAGATTTCTGACAATTCAGTTATATTCGGGAAATATTAGGCCTAGGTGAGCTCTTAGTTCAATTTTCACAAGTTTCAAGGGAAGGTTGGTATTGTTAAGTGAATGTTAGTTTATTGCGACTTTAATGGTTCCAGGTCAAGGAGACCTTGAATCTGTGTCTTGACCAATCCATTGAGTTCAAAACGTCGAGTTTAGTTAGCTAGGTTATCTTGTTTATTTGTACGGGATTTCGAACAAATTGTGAATGCTCATTCGTGATTTTTTCTAAGTTTTGATGTTTGTTGATGCTTCTATTGTTGCATATTGTGTTGTTTATTGTGATTTTGCGGCTCTCTCTTGTGATCGCATAAGGGTGCTTAATTGTACATCGTGATTGCGTGGGGTTTGTCTCAATCATGTTGAGATAGGTCCTCAGGCATCACTATTGTGTGACCCTGGGCCGCGATCGCGAAGGTGAATCTATGAGTTGACCTCCCATTTTTTATTGCAATTGTGAGGCTTTGAGGGTGCAATCACAAAATGCAATTTTGACCTGGAATGAATTATTTTCAAAATTTGAGGTTTCATCCCCATTTCACCATTTTTAAACATTGGAAACTTGGTAGAGGATATTTTTAAGTGTTATTTCGAGATTCATCGATTTGGTAACTATGTATTCCCATTGGTTTCTGAATGATAGGAAGAGCTATATCATAAGGTAGTACCTAGGAGTAATGGGAATTAGAGAAGGATTTCGTATATTATGTGTATATTTAAATGATGAATAAGTTCTATGGATGATAATGTGAGGTAAAAGAATGAACATAATTGGTATGTGTAATGTATGATGTTCCATGAATGGTCTGAATAATTGTACTGACTCACTACCGATGTTGTGCCAAGATTATTTGTGTTGGGTCGTTGTTGTGGAGGCTATTATCCTCTCGTTGGGCATTTGCACATATATGACAACTACATGCAATTCTAATAACTCACAACCTTGAACTTAATATTTAGTATAACTAAATTGCAAAAGTCGAACATATTACCCACTCATAGTAGTCTCTTTCGAGCACCTATACGAGATTCGATGCTACAATCAAGTTGGTCACCTTAATTCATGAATTAATAACTTGGTAACAGTTTGAATCTATGATTATCAGCGATAAAACGAAGCAATACTAACTTAAATAAACACCCAACCCTATAATCAAACCCCAAGAGAGTGGGGGGAGGGGGTAGCCACATATTATAAAGTGTAAATAAATTATACCTTGCATGAAATCAGCCATGGATAACATGCATTGGAGTAATTACAAGCAAACAAACTTGTAATTAAACCCCAATTTAACAAATTAAGGATTATCAATTCAAAAAGCCTAACGGATAAAGTGTTTTTTCACTCAATGGAAAGTGTTTCAATCTCTAGAATATTCAGAATTTTCTCTTTAGTTTCGGACCCCTTTCTCTCTCATTTTTAAGTTATTTATAGATTGCTAAATTTCGTCCTAAAACTAATATGCTCTCCTCACTCGATGACATTAGTCGGCTCACCGATATCATTCAGTGAGTCATCAATCAGGTTTCAACTTGCTTGTTTCTTGCTCCAGGCTTCGGATGTTCGATCACCATTCAGCGATCCTCCTCAGTTTTCTCTTCGAGCTCGGCGAATCGGCAATGCATTAGTTTTCCCTCTGAACTTGCATTTTATCATCAAAAACTATCAAATATCGCCATGTTCGCATTTTTCACTCGGCGTATCGCCTTTTCTCTATGACTTTTCCTACCAACCAATAAAAAAACTCTTATTGCATTGTTAATTTGGGCGATGCCATGCTTGTTATGCGATTTTCCCTTCTTTTTTGGCGACCATCAGAGTCGGTTTTACACTACGTACTTACCTTTTTGTCATTCTTTCATGCATTCATT